GGGAGAGAGAGAGGAGGGAGAGAGAGAGGAGCAGAGGAGCAGAGGAATATGAGTTTTTTATTTTCCTTCACCTCCCGATTCTGTTGTTTTCTTAAAAACTTCACTGGTTTCAGTTTGATCTTGCTGTAAGTTTAAATGTTCCCATCTTATATTTCCAGTGAGCAAACAAACAGCCACTGGTTTGTTTACCTTCCTTTTCTGCCTCCAGCAGCGTCATGTCCTGCTCTATGAGCCACTTCAGCACCAGGTGTCCTGCTGGATGTTCGGCCATGTGGAGCTGCAGAGAAAATAAAACAGGTCACGCTGAGGAACAAAACAACCTTTAACCAGACTAATTCATCTTTTCTCACACGCACCAGGCCGCCTATCCCTCCCGGCACCAACTCTTGATTGGCCAGCTGAGCCACGGCCGTCATGGCGGGCCTCAGGTCCCCGCAGGCCGATGCCAAGATGTCGCTAACGGTGACGCTGGTGGCCTTGTCCATCACCATGGTGGCAGCGTTGTCACGGAGATGGTCCAGCAGGAGCGGGGAGACGACCTCCAGCAGCTCCTTCCTCCGAATGGCTGATTCTTTTTTACTGGAGAGAAGACGAGTCACAGAGTTTCACTTTGAAACTACTTTACAATGACTGCAGATTAATAATCTATCACATCGATGAGCAGCTTTTAACTGGACTCATTCTCGTTAATGTCTTTAATTACCTGTGAGCGTTTCCGTCTCCTTTCTCCAGCACCTTGATGATCTCTGGCAGCAGGTGAGCCGGGTCTCTGGGGCTCAGAAGATACAACAGAACCTTCTTACCGTATTTATTACCGATGACCTCGTCCAGAGACGAAAGGATCTCCTGAAGAGGACGGAGAACAGACCAGATTTAACACTGACAAACACGGAACTGAAGGAGTCACACATGTGATGAGGTTAATAAGATGATTCTGGATTTACTGAGAGCACGGCTTGTTTGACCAGCTTGGTGTCGTCCACACAGTCGAACAGGGCCAGAAGAACCAGGTGACCGAACTCCCCCTGTGGACCGAAAACAGAAAGTCGGAGATTCAGACCTTTTCTAAACTTCACTTCTCTAATAACACTAGCAGCTTGTTTCAGTGAGTGAATAAATGAATGAATGAATGGATGAATGAATGAATGGATGGAGGCTCACTGAGAACTCACCGTAGCAAACTTCACCATGAACGTCTTCATAGTTTTGATGATGACTTTTCTGTCCTGAAACAAGAAATAAAACAAAGATACTGTGCTGTTCACTTTGACTGTGTGTGTGTGTGTGTGTCTGTCTCCCCCTCTCTCTCTCTCTCTACACACCTTGGCCGTCCCGTGCCACAAACACTGCATCGCCACTCGAGCTCCGTCGTGTGTGTGAGCCATGTAGACGACCGACTCTCTGATGGACTCGATCATTTCCTGCTCACACAACAAAGAGTCAAACCGTTAAACAGACCTGTGGACTCTTCATCCAGGAATGAGTTTAATATTCGTCTGTACAAACATTAAAGGGATAATTCAACAGTGTTAGGAGTCGAGGTTCTGCTCACCGCTCTCTGTTTGTCGGCTGTGAACAGGAAGAAATCCAGGAAAACCTTGTGAACCAGCGAGTGTTTGATCACCTGTTCTCTGAAAACACAACGACAGTTAGTATATATATAAGATTTAAATGATTTTACTTCCAATTCTCATCTCACGTCATCTAATTCTTTTTTTTCATATCTTACTTTGTGGCCATGGGAGTGAGAATCTGCTTCATCTCATCGATTATGTTGCTCAACTTTCCCGGGTTCGCCTCCGCTACTTTCTCGATGGTGTTACACACCGAGGACTGGACACGAGAGAGAGAGAGAGAGAGAGAGAGAGAGAGAGAGAGAGAGAGAGAGATACACAGCAGGTTTTTCCACTGACTTCACTCAAGTTATAAATATTTGTTAAAGTGTAAAAACACTTTCTAAAGAGACTTCAGGTAAAAATACATTTAAAAATCCTGTTTAATGAGAAATGTCAAAATTGAATTCAGAGGAAATGCAGCGTGTGTGTGTGTGTGTG